TCCTATTTTATTTCTAATTTGCTCATAAGATCTACCTGGTAATATATTTGTATTTACTATCTTTTGATAAACTTTTATTTTTCCGCGTTTCTAATCTTTTAAATTTTTATCCTAAAATTCAAATAAATTTTTAATTTTCATATCTGTCCATTTGGTATTATCTTCACTTAGATTTATTTCATTTTTAGAAACCTTTTTTTTTGCGTTTATTAGTTTTAATTGATGGCTAAATATGTAAGAAAAGAAATTAAATAAATATCGTATATATATAATAAAATTTTAGACGAATATTTTAGAAAAACTTACTAAAGAAAATCTTCAAATTTTGTGATTCTGCTTGTATAGTTATAATATTTGTATTTGATTATTTAATATAAATATTAATAATTAAATTGAATAAATTAATATTAGAAAAAAAATATAAGTACAAACTTCTAAATCAATTACTTCTTTAGATTCAAGAAGAAATATATTTGAAGTTTTAATGTAATTAGTTTTGGAAGTATAGGAACAGGTTTCAACCGCGGTTTAGTTTTTAGATTATATTTTGATTCTATATTTTTTAAATTTTGTGAAATCATTTTTTTTTTAAAAGAACATAAACACGTTTTTTTTTAAAACATTTAGATCATTAAATTTTTTGATCTGTTGATTCATTTATTTGATCTGATCTTCAAATGATTTTTATTGGCTATTAGATTTTTTGACAATTGGATCAGATCAAAATGGATTAGAATTGAACAGGGCTATTATATATTACTGATTTTTCATCAGTTCCTCCATCCATAGTAGTGCCCCAAAAAAATAAACGAACCTAATAATAAAAATATATTAGTAATAAAAAATATAAATAAAAAATAGCAAATTTAATAATATAATGCTTTTAATACCTGATTATGATTCTTTTTTTCTATACTTGAGATAGAGAAAATTTGTAAAGAAAGGCCCTTTGCTTTTAATTGTTATAAAAATTGAGATATATACTTTGCAAAAACATATATATATGAAATTATGTCTTTTTTTCAATATAAATTAGGAATTTGAATAGAGCTATTAATGTGACCTTGAGTTAGACGGCAAAAGATACAGATCCAATTTTGAGTATCAATTTCAAATTGATTATTTTCTTGATCTGAAAGATGTGTACTATGTAAAATTATATATAAACGATAAAACTCTCGCCATAATTTTTTAATATCCTCTTCACAAATATCTATAATAAAATGTGATACTGAAAATTTTTCTAACATTTTTTTTTATCTGAACCCATTAAAAAAGTCCAATTCTATTGTTTTCCAGATAATTTAGATTGAAAAAATTCAAAATGAACTTTAATATTTTTAAATTCTAATTCTATTTTTAGTTTTATTTGTTTTTGAAATTCTTTTTTTTTACTAAATTAGCAAATAAATATTCCATTAAAACATCTGATATATGTAAAAGCAAATGCAACTCATCTGGTATGTAATTTTCTTAATTAATTGCTAGGAATAAAGATGGTTTTTTTTGTCTAATAATTAATATTATATATTATATTAAAAAAAATTAATTTAATATAATATATTAACTTACATTTTGTATTACTTGTATTATTTCAAATTTTATTCATATCCTATCATAATGATGTTTTACAATTATAATACAAATAAAAGTATTTTGAATTAGGTGCACTTAATCTTATAACAATATATATAAATTTCTAATCTTCGCAAAAAAATAGTTCAATTAGTTAATGAATACTGTCTTTATCAATAATTCTATTATCTTTCAAATCAAATAATTAATATTAAAATAATTTTCCAACATTTGCTAAATCTTCATATTTTTCACATTCAACATAAAGACAAATATTAAAATTATTAAAAAAAATCAATTAATTAAAATAAAAAAATAAAAAAATTTAATAATTAAAATAATTATCAATATTGATGATCAGATTTCAAAATATCTTTTTCTTCATTTAATAAGCAAAATGTTATCATTACATGATTTTGCTTGCGATTTATATTTTAACCATTACTACTAATTTTAAGATTAATTGTATTACCTTGATTAAGAATTTGTGAAAAAGTATTTTTTCAAATTGAAATTAATACTTCAAGAAGAGTTTTAATTGATCTATATACACCATTTCTAATTTTAGTTTTAACAATTAATATTTCTTCTTCAGATTGTTAATTTATATCAAAATCATCATCATTTAAGGGTTTATCAATATTAAATGTTTTTATTTTAATTTTATTATTAATAATATTTATAATTTTAATTCTATATTTATCAACATAATATTCACAGATAAGATAAGGTTCGATAGCAGCCAAATGATGATAACTATCTTGTGATAATAAAGATTTATAACATACTCATACAAAAGCATCTAATTTCTTAAGTTCAAAGTCTTTATTAGAATGCTGACAAGTTAGATTGATGGTTTCTCTATTAAAATCTAACTCAATATTATGTACAAAAACTACTGGTTATTCTGTTTCTGTAATCATATTATATTTTGTAATTAATAATGATAATTTTTGTTCATAATCTTTCTCAAAAGTCACAAATTATTTATTTTATCCTAATTTGAATTATATTATAGAAAGAGGCCATTTTTTAGAAGCTATAGGTATAGTAAAAATCTCTAATCAATATTAATACAATTTTTCTATATCTAATCCAAAAATTCGAAGACCTGATAACTGTGATCCATTTAGATTCATTCTTTAAATAATATATTTAAAATTATTATGATATTTATTTATATCAAGCAAAAATATGTTTATTTATTATAAAATATAATAATTAATTTATTAAATTTATAAATACCTGTAAAAATTTAGTAACTACTCCAGTTGCAGATTTTTCACTATAAACATTATATTCTACATTATTTTTATTTTAAAATATAATAGATTTTGCTTTTCGATTTAAAATATATTTAATTTTATAATGAATTTTTTTATTTCCTAACTTAGTCTTAATTACATAATCATTTAGTATCTTATACTATTTCCTGTCTTTAGAATTTTTTTGAATCATTATAGTATTTATAAGATAATATCCTAAAGATATTACATTATACTATGATATGAATGTATTTCCACCTGATTTATATATTGCTATAATATAAAAAGAATTAGAATAATTTTGATTAAAAGTCCTTGATAAATAGTTATCTATAAATTTTTAAAGATTAGTTATTTCTATCTCTATAATCTCTATAAAAGCATTAATAAAAATATAATCATACCTTCGTTTGATTCATTTAACATAATTGATGTTTAATAAAGAAATAAAAATGATTTTTTTTTTAGAAAAATAATTGAATATATTAAAAAAAAGTTTCTTAATGACTACAACACATTTTTGATTAAATTTGTTTGATTCCTTCAAACTGATTTTGAACTAATTTTGAACTATTTTTAAAGATGATAATATAAATAATTATGCAATGTAAAAAATTTTTGACTGGTTATAAAATCAGGTTTATCATGTGAATTATTTTATTATATTTTCAGATTTTTCAATTATAATAAAAATTTTGTGTAAGTATAACAATAAGTTCTAATAATAATGTGACAAAATTGAATAGAGCTAGATCAGCTTATATGAACTAATGCTTCAATTAGTTCAGTTCAATTCAGATTATAGGCTAATCTGAAACCAAACCAAAAATTTCAGTTCAGTTCAGTTCAGATTATAAATCTTAAAAATGCCAATTTGAAACTGAACTGAACTATAAACCAGTAAAAATCTGAACTTGAACTGAAAATTTCAGATTAATCTAAAATTTTGGATTATTTGGAACGATAATTTCATCGTTCCAATTAAACGATTTTTTTATCGTTCGTTTGAAACAATAACTTCAATCATTTCAAATGAACAATTTTTTTATCATTCTTTTGAAATGATAATTTAATCGTTTATTTAGAATAATAGTTTCATCATTCTAAACAAACGATTCTCTTATCATTTGATTGGAACAATAGTTTCATCATTCCAATTGAATAATTTTCTTATCATTTATTTAGAATGATAGTTTTATTGTTCCAATTGAATAATTCTCTTATCGTTCGTTTAGAATGATAACTTCAATCATTCCAAATGAACGATTTTTTATTGTTCTTTTGAAATGATAATTTAATTATTCCAATCGAACAATTCTCTTGTCATTCATTTAGAATGATAGTTTCATCATTCCAATTGAATAATTCTCTTATCGTTCGTTTAAAATGATAGTTTTATCATTCTAATCAAATAATTCTCTTATCGTTCATTTGGAATGATAGTTTCATCGTTCCAAACAAATAATTCTCTTATCATTCATTTGGAATGATAGTTTCATCATTCCAAACGAATGATTTTCTTATCATTCTTTTAGAATGATAGTTTTATCATTTCAATCGAACGATTCTCTTATCATTTAATTAAAATGATAGTTTCATCATTCTAATTGAACGATTCTCTTATCGTTCATTTGGAATGATAGTTTTATCATTTTAATTGAACGATTCTCTTATCGTTCGTTTGAAATGATAGTTTTATTATTCCAAATGAATGATTCTCTTATCATTCATTTGGAACAATAGTTTTATTATTCCAATTGAACAATTCTCTTATTGTTTATTTAGAATGATAGTTTAATCATTCCAATTGAATAATTTTCTTATCGTTCATTTAGAACAATAACTTCAATCATTCCAAATGATCTGAAATTTCAGATTAATCTAAAATTTTCAGATTGAATTTTTTGCAATCTGAAACTAAATCAAAGTTGATCTGAATTGAAAATTTTCAAATTAATCCAAACCATTCAGAGCTTTAATATAAACATTATCTGATAATCATCATCATCATCTAAGTTAATTAACTCTTCATTCTCTTCTAATTTTTCTTCACAAACGTTAACTAACTCTTTCTTATAAGCATTAACTAACTTTTTATTTAAATAATTATCATCAATATTTATTATTATTATTTAGTCTCTATAGTATGCTTTTTTACTTCTAATTGGATATTCTTTTTAGCAACTTTTTCAACACTTTCCTCAACATTTTTCTCAACACTTCTTTAGCAATTTTTTCAACCTTTTCTTCAACAACTTCTTCAGCAATTTCATATAAGATTCTATCGATTGCACTATCATGAATTTTTATATGATTCTATAAAGCAGAATGATAAAAAAATTCTCTTTTATAATGTAAACATTTGAAATTCATTTTTGTAAATTTGTTATGATATTCTATTCTTTAAGAGTGGAAACTTTAATAATGAAAATTGCTATTATATATTATTTTAATGTTTGTGTATTGTATATTAATTAATATTTAAAATACATTTTAGAAACCTAACATATAGTACAAGTAATTATTATTATACCATATCCAAGTTAATAATACAAGTAGCTAAAAATTAAGGTATTTTTTAGAATTTAAATAATAATTTTTTTTCATGTGAATCTATATCATTAATATATCAATAAGCAATAAATATAACTCAGAAATTTCATATATTTCATAAATCTTCATATCAAAGAACAAAAAATGAAAAACTCAGAAATTCATATAATGTCAAAAAGAGGTAAATTATGACATTTTATTAACAAAAATTCAAAATAATTTATTTTGATCAATCAATTATTATGATGATTTTTTAAAAATTGCATGTATTTATCATGAATTCATTACATTTTTAATAAATAAAAATAAGATGAAAATAAGAAAAAAAATATTCTTAATTCTTAACTCACTTTTTTTTTATAAAAAAAAAATTGGAACAATAAGTAACAAAGAACTAATCAATTTTAATTTATCACGACCTCTAAGAAGAAAATTGAATCATTCTCAAAAAAACAAAAATGTAAATATTTTATTTTTTTATATCATCATTAATGTAATAGTACTTTTATAGAACTATTATGTTATTTAAAAATTACTTACGTATATATTATATTTTTCTATCAGAAAAATAATATAAAAAAAATTTGCTTGATTTTATTAAATATCATCAAACAAAATTATATTAATAAATACTTATTAACAAATTATAGCTGCTAAGAATACCAATATACAATCAGAACAATCAACTTTTAATTTATCATCTAAAAAAGTAAAAATCACAAAAATTAATATATTTGATAAGAAAAAGTCTTCTGTTAATTTTTTTTTGTTTTATTCTTAAATATCTGTATTATCTTAATTTTTACATTTCTTACATTAATCTATTATAAAGAATTTGCTATCTGTAGTTATAGTGTCTTCAATAACATCTAGAACAATATCTAGAATGATGTCTGAAGTATTATCTGAAGAAATATATAGAACTGAAGTATCATCTAAAATAACATCTGAAATTAAGTCCAAAATGACATCTGAAATAAAGTTCAAAACAATATTTGGGGTAAAGTTCAGAATAATATCTGATTTATCATCTTTTAGAATAAAATCTAAATCAAAAGATACTATATCTTCTATGACAGATGAAGGTTAGAGTTTATATATAAATATTTATTGTGATTAATTAATGATATTTATATTTATTTATATTAATAATAATTAGCAATGTCTAATATTGATCAACGAAGTTTTAAGAAGTTGTTTTAGATTTATCAAAAAAATAGTATTATGCTTAGTAAAATAAATAAAAATTAAGAGAGTTTGAAAATTTGATCAAAGAACAAAAGAAACAGGTTGATGAAATTGTATCAAGATTTGAGCTTAACACTAAAACTGAAGATACTAAGAAAGAAATAAAACCATATTTTTATCAAGTAAACTTATACGTTTATTATTAATATTATTTTAGTTGAATAGGTTTTTATTTATTTATGATTACTTGTATTACAGAATGCGATTAAAAAATTATCAATGGAATTATTCTGAGAGATAAATAAGCAAATAAACTTAAAGAAAGACTAAAAGCCATATTTGATGAGGATGAATATTATGCTAAACAACTTCAAAACTAATAAAAAAGGTGTCACGTTTGATGATTTATAGAACGAGAAATTATGTTCAGCTGTTAGTATCTAGGTAATATAAATTAACAAATTTAACGAATGTATATTAACAGGTTATTTAATATACTATTAATGTAACTATTTAGTATAAATTACACTAAAAAAGGATACTACATTCGAAAGATTTAAGAAAGTTTGTAAAGTACCTTTAGAATTAACAGAATTAAGCTATTTAAAGATAGTTATAGTAAAACTCAAATGAAAGAATGAAAATAAAATGATAATTTTAAGAGTATTTATAAAAACTTGTATAATAGAATTAATTTATCAGATTCTTTTAGCAAAATGTATATCTCGTTAATATTCAAGAATGTTTTTATTGAAAAAGAATATATACATACTAATGTATTTTGAATATAATCAGTTCTTGAAATATTTTCGATAAAAATTATTTATCAACAAAAATCGATACTGAAGTTGTAGATTCTTAATTTGAAGCATTAATAAATATAGAACTAGTAATACTATACAATTTTCTTTAATAAGTTTATTTATTATATTATTTAATTTATATTTAGTTTATCTTATTTAGAATGGTATGATTTTAGAGTTTGAAATATCTTTACCTTGTAATAAGAAAGATGAAATAGATAGTTTAAGTTTAGATAATTGTATTGGTGACTATGAAAAAGATAGAGGAAAAATGTAATAATAAGAATAAATGAGCTACGTAGTATATTATGAATGATACTATATGATAATTTTAATATTGATAATAACATTGCTTTATTATATTTTTTCGCATTTATCATATATTAAATGATACTATTATATGCAATACATTATTGCTTTACTATATTTTTTGTATTTATCAATACATTAATTAATACTTTATATGTTATTTTCAACTGATGCTTATTATATTTATTAACTATATATTGTTTTATACTTAAATTTGTATTGATTTATATGTTTTTAAATACGTTAATTAACAAAGGATTTATTAAATAATACTTTTTGAGTATTGATCAATATATGGTATTTATTGATACATTAAATATCTATTTGAAACTTACTGATATAATAAATAAAATAAATTATTATAATAAAATTATAATTATAATTTTTAAAATTTTATTTGAAATGCTAATTTAGATTTTATAAGTGTTTTATAATACTTATAATAACTATTTCAATAAGTACCTTTGTCTCATAATTTTCTTTTTGTAGATTATGTAAATTATTAATAAAATATTAGTTATTTGAATTATGAAAATAGAATGTAAAATTGCATTAGAACTTGCTTTTTTAAATAAAACTGAATCTTTAAAAAATTTTTAAAATAAAAAATTCATTTAGTATACATAATATGAAAGGTAGATAATTTTATGATATATTAGATAATGATGATGATTAAAAAAATTTATTATTAAAATTATATTAATTATAAAAATATATTAAAATCTTTATTAAATTGCAATTACTAAGTAGCAGCATAAAATGCAATATTATCTGTAATTATAGTAATTAACTTTACTTTTATTTATATACATTCATAAATTATTTGCTTAATATTTGCTATAACTTCTTTTTTTCTTTTTCTTTTGCTACTAACATCTTTAGCTTTTCATACCAAAACTTTATTTTTTAAAGTAACAAATCTAATCCTAAAAAATTTTGATCTAAAATGTTTATCTATCTATCAAAAGATAAAGTAATATTATTAGAATCATTTTATACTTTATTTTTAAATTCAATTTCATTTTTTGTGTAATTTTTATAAAATTTGACCTTCAAGAGTATAATGACTAAAAGTTTTAAAATAAGATAATAAAACTAAAAAGTTTTTTTATTTCTTTATTTTTCACTTATTATAAAAGTATTTTAGCTAATAATATTACTTTTAAAACTAAATCATTAAATATTTTTTTATCTTTTTTTTAAAAAAAAGATGAAAAATGAACTAGTCAAATAGTCTTAAAAAAGAAGGCATACAAATAAATTTTGTATTAATTCATTTATCTATAATATTTTAAAAAAAAATTGATTATTTATTTATAAACATAATAATAAAAATAAATATTAACATTTTACTTACTTGAAGTAAATTTTTACTCATAGTATAATTTCTTACTATTAATTAGAATAAAAACTATATCTTCAGATACTTCATTCTCTAAATCTTCATCTACTTTTTTTTTAGAAAATCAAGATTTAAAATTATCACATTTTTTAAATGATTGATAATCTTATTTAGTCTTATTAGAGAATTTTTTTCAATAGCATATTTCTTATTAATAACTTTTATACAATCAATACAAATTATATAATTATATTATTTATCTGTCTTTTCGGGTAATATCTCAATGTATTGTAAAAATTTTTTGCATTTATTAGTTACTATTAAATGTTAGAACAAAAAAGTTAAAAAAAGGTGTTAAAAAAAGATTATCAAGATCAGCCAAATTATTCAAAAATGAAAAATTGGTAAAACATTGGTTAAATAATAGTTAAAAAGGTATTTGATTACAGCCAATTGCTAATGAACTTTGACTACTAATTTTAGCTATTAATATTAGCCTATTAATCAAATTATGATTAATGGTTAAGTAAATTGATTGGCTGTGATCAATACTAATAATACCTTAAATATAAAATTTAAATCTTTAAATATTATAACATATTTAAAATATTTTAACTTATAATATATTATATAATATTTTAAGAAAATAGATTATGATTAAGAAGAAAAGCAAATTATAATACTTAATATATTTTTTATTTCTTCATAAAAATTTTGTAAATTTATTTTATTAATTTATCTATAATACTTTAAATAATTTAGTTTAATTTAAATTATAAGCTAAATTAAATATGAATTGAAATTTTGATTTAAATTATAAATCTTAAAATACTAATCTAAATTTATATTAAACTGTTATTATTAGATTCATTTTTAGTTATTTTAATATCTAAATTAAAAGATTATGGTAGTTAATTCTATATATTAGAGTTTTTGATTTTAGGATTTTTTCTAAATTCTATAGATATTCATGATACTTTTTGGCAATTTATTATATCTTAGAATTTAAGATATATTAGTTAAACTCATAATAATGAACTTAATAATAAGTTAGTATAAAGTATTACAACAAATTCTAGATAAAGGATAATATTGAAAGAAAAGTAAATTTGTATGGATTTAAATTGATTTCTTTATTAATAACTTGAAACTTACAAAGATTTAATTTACAATTTAGGCCAAAAGCTATTTTATTTATACAAAATAAATTTGCTTTAGTTAACTACTTACTACGTTATAAATTAACTAAATATAGATGTATGTTCTAATAAAAATATACTTAAACATAATAAAATAATAAAAATAATAAAAAAAATAAAATAATTACAGATATTAAAGAAATATAAACAAATAGAATAAACATGATATATAAAAAATACAGAAGAAACAGAAGAAATATAAATTATTATTGATCACTTTTTGGTACAGCAGTAATATCATCTAATGTGAGATTATCATTAATTAGTAAATTTCATATAATGTTTGAAGCTGTAATTTTTTTTATTGATTAATATAAAAAATTCAGTTTAATTATTCAATTAAAATAATATTAATATTTTTTATCATTTAATAAAATGATTTTAATTATTTTAACAAATGATATTTTTATTATTTAAATTAAATAGTATTTTTATTATTTAAATAAAATGATAATTAATTATTTTTAGAAATATTAAAATCCAGTCTAATCTTAGTTTGATCCTGAAATTTTCAGTTTTTAAGAAGACCTGGTTCATAGAATTTGAGTTCTAAATCTAAATTCTAGGATCAGATTTTAAGACTGTAATTTTAAGATTTATGATTTTATAAAAAATAATCATTCAAAAAACTTGAATGATAAAAAAATTATTTAAGAAAAAATAATAAAGAATCATTTAACTAGAATAATGAAAAATCATTCAATTAGAATAATGATCTATTTATTGTTTAGCTAAAATGATAATGTATTATTCAATTAGAATGATGAAATATTATTTTTTTGAATAATTATATATTATTTAACTAGAATAATAAAGTATCATTCTTTTTGAATAATTATTTATTTTATTATTTAAATTAAATAATTATTTATTATTTTTTTTATTATTAATTACTTATTATTCTTTTTAAATAAATTTTTTATTATTTAAATCAAATATTATTTATTATTATTTTTGAATAATTTTTTTATCATTTAAGTCAAATGATTTCTTATTATTCTTCTTGAATAATTATTTCTTTTATCATTCAAATTGAATAATTTCTCATTATTTTTTTTAAATAATTATTTTTTTTATTATTTAAGTTAAATAATTCCTTTTTTTTTTCTTAAATGATTATTTCTTTTATCATTTAAATCAAATAATTTCTTATTATTATTCTTAAACAATTATTTCTTTTATAATTTAAATCTAATAATTCCTTATTATTCTTTTTAAACAATTTATTTTTCTATAGATTACAGTTTAAGAATCACAAATTCTAATTTTTATAAGATTGCAATATTATAGTTTAAAGGACTTTAAATTGGATTGGACTTTATAGGACTATTTAAAATCTGATTCTATAGGATTTTTTTAATATTTCTAATTATTTTTAATTAAATAATTCTTTTATTATTTGATTAAAATGATTATTTTTTATCATTTTAAATTAGTTAAATACTTAAGATCACTATTATAAGATAATTTTTCTTAAATTTAAAATTTGATTTAATTTTATTAAATTTAAGAAATTTTAAAATATAAATAAAAATATTTAATATAAATAATTATTTAAAATTATTGAAAATAATTTAAACAAATATCTTTATTTTATAAATTTTAGATTAAAAAATATTTAAATTTAACATTAATCTATTTTTATATTTTTTTATTATAAATTTTATAATAAAATAAAAAATTTTTTTACTTTTATATATTAAATAATATAAATTAGTAATTATAATTTATATAATCTAATTAGATCAGTTTTTGTTAAATTTAAAAAAAAATTTTTATATATTAATAGATTAAAATTAAAAAACATTTTATATAAATTTTACATAATGTTAATATGCAATTCTATCGAATTGTGACTGTTAGATGAGGTATTTAAGTGGTATTTTTTTTAAGTTTATATAGTAAATCTCTATATAGTTTAACTTAGACTTTATAAATTACATAATAATGTACTTTTAATAATACTAAAAGATAGATAATTCAATAGATTTAAGATTATAACGATAAGGTATAATGATGTGTTTATTAATGATAAGCAATAAGAAATAAAAAAAATAAAAAAAATAAAAAAATAAAATAAAGAAAACTAAAAAACTAAAAGTACTAAATACAAGAGTTAGGCTAAGTGGCTTTAAAAGTGCTACTAAAGGTATATCTAAAGGTAAACTAAAAGAAAAACTAAAAATTAATTAGAAGCAAATTGAAGTTTACATGATTTTATCATTCTCTATTTATATTAAATTTAGTATATAGAAAAATATAACAAATAAGTCAAATATGTCTAATATATTAAATATATCTAATATATCTTATTTATTTAATATATCAGTTATATTAAATATATCAAATATATCTTATATATTGTCACTGTAAAATTCTTTAACTTGAGGTAGTCACATTATCAAGTCTCAACTTGAAATTTCTAACTGCAGTTTATTGCGATTAAGATATTAGGATCCGCCTAACTCTTAATTTTACCAAATTTATGTGTTAGATTTTAAACAAATCTATTAAGTATGAAGACTTGAAAGACAAGATTATGAACAATTTTAATTAAGGAATTCAGATGACAAACTCAATTATAAATAATGTGTAGGGATCACATCAGACTAATGAAGACACAAAGAGGCAAAAAGATATAAGTTTTGAATAATTCCTTTATTAATATTAAAACTCATACTTACAAACTTGCAAAAGAGTTAATTTACAACATCAGTAAAAGTCTATCTATTTATACAAAATTTCTCTTATCACAACTAATTAATTATTATACTATAAATTAACTAATTTAACAAAATAAAATATAAGTAAAATAAATATATTAAAAATACGTAAAATAATAAAAATATAAAATATAATAAAATTAACAATAAAATTTAGAATATTAAAAATAAGTATAACACTAAATATTCTTAGACTTCATTTAATTCGTAAAATTATGATTATTATCAGTATTTGAAAGATCTTTAGAATTACGTAAATCTTTCGTATTTTCAGAATTCGTAGAATTCTCAGTATTTTCAGAATTTTAGATTAAAAGATCGTTATACTGCGTCATCCACGTAACTTTATTATGATTGGTCAATTGCTCCATTGATAATGTCAAATATGTTTGATGTATTTGACATTTAGATCTGTAATATACTGCATTACATTGATCAATCCAATTTGGTTACATTATAAAATTTTTGAAAAATTAAAAATTGGATTGTTATATTAATTTTAAAAATTTTATACTATGTAAACTATAAAATCAAATTTGCATAACCTTATTATAATTTAAAATTAAATAAATTTAATTTTATATATTTATTATTAATAATTAATATTGTTGCTAAACAAACCTAATGGTTTTAAAAGTTGTCTAAATAGTATTATATAAAAAAAACATAGATGATGATGATCAAAGAAATAATGATGATTCTTAGAAAATCATATATGGCTTCTATATTATCTATGTCATCTATATCATATAATTCTTTTATATAATATATTTTATTTATTTCTTTTATTTCTTTTATGATATATATTTATTATATTATATTTATTTTATATATTTTATTATTTCTTTTATATCTTAAATAACTTTATATATTTTATTTTATATAAATAGAGGATATTTTCTTTTAGCTTAACAATGTGTCTTGTATATAATGTGTCAGATAGATAGTTATTAAATAGTTTAGTTTAATTTCTCTAATATACTTATATAGTACAGAGCTGATTGAGACACTCTATTGTTATTGTTATTAAATAAACTGTTAATTGATCGACACTCTTCTAAATCTAATTACAAAATATATCTTCTGCTTACTACCCATAAATATTGCTTCACTTATCACTTATAAATATCTTAAAGAACTGATCATAATAATAGTAAAAAATAAAATTTAGCAAAATTATATTAACATCTTATAAAAAAAATCTGCAAAACTTAAAAAAAACTATATCAAAGCTTATAGAAATGCAAAATTATATTAAAATATTAGTAAAAAAAATTAGTAAAACTAAAGTTTAACCATTTTGTCAAATCTAAAATAAGTTTAGATAAAGTAAATAACAGTTTAATTATAAATATTATATAATAAAAGATTAATATATATATATATATAAATATATATATTTTTACTAATAAGAAATATATTATAAATTATAAGTATTTTGTAATAGAAAAGAAATAAATAAAATTTATTTTATATTTAAATAGGTTTAATGATTTGTAATTATTTATTAATATAAATTTGCAATTTTTTTATTATGAAAAATCTTTTATTATTATAAATTTTATAATTTATTAATAAAAACCATAATTTTTAAAATAATGTTAAAATATACATTATTATTTATATATATATATATAATAATAATGAAATTAAAATCTTATATTTAGATAGGAATTTAAGTTTTTTTATTTTAAAAATTTGCAAACAAATCTTATTTATAAAATAATTTAAAATTATATTAAAAATATAAAAATTTAATTAATAAATAAAAGATTTTATGGGAGGTTTGCTAGGAAATCAAGTTCTGAGACATTATTATATTTTAATCTAATAACATCCAAAACTAAAATGCAATAAAAATTAATTTTTTGTTAAAAAATTGCAATCTTCGCATATAAGTTTTATTAATAATAATTTAACGAATATAATTGTTTATATTTTAACTACAATATGAATTTTTCGAAATATTATGTTATGAACAGTAATTTTCAGAATAGCAGTCTAAATATTCGAAAAGGTAATTATAGAAAGATGAATAAAAGATTATATTTATTTTTTATTACGCTACAAGTATATAAAATGACATTAAAATGATAATAATTACTTAATAATAAACGTTTATGAATCTTTCTTTTGTAAGTTTATTGAACCTTTTTAACATTCTTTCTTTTACTTCCATACGTTTTTGCAGCAAAATTAATAAATAAAGCTGTTAATGGTAACAAATAACAGACGTTAATATAAGTAGCATAAACGGCCGTATCTGTTCTTAAACAATCATCAACAAATAAATATGAAATAGCCAATGGAGTTCCAATTAAAAATTGAATAATTTGCATTGTAGTCAAATATTGTTTTCCTGGAGGAGAAAAACCGATACAAGTAGCTGCGTAATATGCATACATTATGGAATGAATAAATGAATTAAAAACAACAAAAATCCAAATTGGTGGCGCTTTAAAGTTCATCCCACTCCACATTGTTATCATTGCGCCGGCATGATGATAAGTTTGAAGGAATGAGGAACGGCGTCCTTTAAAGAGAATTATCACCGTATCAATTACTTCATAGACTAAAAAATTATAGAGACGAATGAAAGAAACTGCGTAAGTGACGAATTCATGAGCGAGAAGTTATTCCTGCAGAAAGATCATTTTGCTCACATTTTGAAAGATAGAAAAGGTAACCCCAATAACCGAGAGAATTATTCCATAAAGAACTATCTCGATCGCAATACTAAATATAACAAACAAGCATAAGTTAAATAATATAAACATGATTTTACACTGGTATGATAATTACACACTTACAGCATCAGTAAAACTATCACTGTGTTTCACAAAATTCATAAAAAATGCACGCCCCATATTAATAAAAGTAATTATACTAAAAACGCACAAAGCCAAGTTATGCAAGAATATGAAAGCAGTCATGAGAGGAGAACTTTGTGTATTTTTTATTTTAAGGCCTTTTTGTTTAGCTACAATACGAGAAACAGCATTTGATCTTGGATTGAATAGAGATACTGAAATTATGTAAAGAGAAGCTATTGTTAACGGAAATCGATAATCCATCACATTTGGATAATATTCAGGGAATGGTATGCCTTTTGATGGCGGTGTTGTTGAATTACGAGAAAATAATTGTTCCATGGCAGTAAAAACAAAGATTTATTTAATCGATGGAATAATTATATATCGAATATTCCGTTAAAGAGGTTATCAATTCTCCAGAGATAGTATTATAATAATCGTTATACGTTAAGAAATTTTTTTTTTTTTTAACGAAAAAAAAAAAGGGAAAATAGTAATTTTTATATGAATATTGCAATCTGTAAATAAAGACAAAATAGATATCCCCAACAAACTGTAGAATCGCGTGGTAATAATAATAAAAGTGAAATAATTTATTTAAAAGATAAAAATCCAATTTTTGGGGGGGTAAATTCAATCACATGCTTGATTTAATTAAACTTATTGAGCGCAGTAATTTCCATATAATTGTCCTTCGGTTAACTTTTTTTATCCCTTTTAAACTCATGTTTATCAAATAAAAACAAATATTTAAAGAATCGTTTTCTTTCACATGAAAGAATTAAGCAAAAAATGTTTCAAGATTTCAATCGGCTTTCTTAATATGTTAACCAATCGGAAGATTCTTTATATAAATAACCGAACAAACGGCATATACCATTTTTCCAATCCTAAAAAAAGATATTATTTTGTCATCAGAATTAACGTAATTTTACTATATATATGGATCCATTTTTTTTTACCATTTAAAATCAATCATTATAAAATTGGGTAATTTCGAATTTAAATAAATGTCAATAATTATAAATTCAAACAAAACTAAACTGGTCGGTTTAGTGGCCGGTGTATCATTTCTTCTATCGGCCGGTTTTATCAATTTGAATATACTCAATTGGCAAGATCAGGCGCAGATAGAAGAACAATTATACCTTAAATCTATTGAACGTCAAATTTTTTCATTACCAATAGTAAAAGAATTAAAAAATGATTCATCGTATGAATTAAGAGTTCATGATAAAGGTGCACGACAAAAAAATCATTTTACCACCGGAACTTTGAGAGGAAAAGGAAAATTTGTCGTTAAACCTTTAATTTTCTTTTCAGAGGAAAAAAAAGAATGTGTCTATATTCTACATGTTGGAAGTGATATGTGTGGTCATAATGGAATCGTTCATGGTACGTTAAAAGAAAATTTTATTTATAATAATAAATTTTTTATTTATTTTTCTCTTTTTTAACCTTTAGGTGGATTATTATCAACTATAATGGATGAAGTATTGGCCATAGCTGTAAGTAATGCTATTGAAAACAATCGGATTTTTACCTTTCTATATTTTTAATTAAAATTACTCTTCCTCTTAGTCCATACCTTGCTTGCCAGGTAAAAATGGCGCTACTGCCTTTTTACACGTAAATTTTCGTAAACCATGTAAAGCAGAACAAATTTTAATTGGTCGTGGTAAAACTACTAAATTGGAAGGAAGAAAAGGGTTCGTTGAAGGAACTTTAGAAACTTTAGATGGTATTAAATTAGTTGATGCTAATGCTTTATTTATCAGCGTAAAGAAATTAGAATAAATTAATTATTAAGTGATAATAATATAGTTAAATTAATAAATTGTATTTTTAGTTGTAAAATAAAATCAGAACTTTCTTAAAAAAATTTATCCAAAAGCTTTTTATGGTCAAAATTTTATTTATTACTAATTTCCTAAAACGGTTACAAGTTGTGCTAATTGCCCCAAAAATGAAAGTTTGCCATTTAAGGGTAATAAATTAAATTATCATCAATCGTGTCACATTTTTCATTTAATTAAAACAAAAATTTTTTTACCATGGGAAATCATGCAAGTAAAGCCTCCGAAGCCTTGTTTCATGAAATCTTTTCACAGTTTTCAAAAGAGGAACAGGCTGTCCTTTTGCAAAAATTTGGAGAATTCGCTTCTGATAATATAGACTTGCGCGATCAAAAATTTGGAAAAGCTCGTGATGCAGGAGTAACAGCCCTAAGCATTAAAGTAAACTGAAAACAAAAAATCACTTTACTAGAACGTTATTTTATTTTAATTCGAGTAATACTTAAATTCTTTTTGTAATAGAAACATCTTCCTTCCGTATTAGGAGAACATTTAAAAGATGGTTTCGTACAATATTTTCAAATACAATCGGCATCGATTGGGAAACAACTTTCATCAGAAAAATTAGAAAAGTTATTACAACCATCACCTTCTTTACATATAACTCAACTTGGATTCATTTCTTCAATTCACAATTTAGCTAAAACAACACCTTCGGATCAATCCCAAGCGGCTTTTATCGTTGGTCATTTATATCAAGGATCTTTAAAAACCTTTATTCAAGAAGTTATAAGAACTTCGCTAGTTTATTGGTTCGAAGGAGCTTATATTTCTCAAACCGGACAAGTAAGAGAATCAAAAAATAAAGGAAAAAAAAATTCATTTTTGGATTTAGATGGCACAAATTTAATTGATTATTTAATTTTATTTCCAAAATTAAAACATGGTGAACCTGAAGAGGATTCACTTTTTAATTTAATTAAAGAAGCGGAGATTGAAGGATATTTTAATCGAGGTTCTTTTATGGATTGGTATATTAAAAATACACCTTTTCAACATTTATTTAATATCCTGCTTTCCTATGTATTCCTACCTAAGAATTTACCTCAAGATTCGATTAAAATGTTAAGATTTGCCAATTCGATTTCTCCAGAAATTTATTCTCCATACAAAGCTTTACCGAATTTCTCTCAACTTTTAACACCTTCGGATTATTATGTGTTAAATAGTCATTTACCACCAGATTGTCGTGTCACCACACACACGCTATTATTCTCCTCAGTCAGAGATGGAGACAGTTGGAGTACATTTATTAATTCCATATTATATCAAGGTTCAACCTATATTATAATAAAAGATAAAGATGGTTATATATTTGGTGGTTTTACTTATGAAGATTGGGAACTTAAACCAAAATGGTATGGAAATGGAAAGAATTTCTTATTCTCCATTAAACCTAAATTGAGATTGTATCCTTCTACCGGGTATAATGACCATTACCAATATTTAAATTATGGAACGAAAACTTTGCCTAACGGTAAGTTCAATTCGAAAGATTTCGCTTTTTTTTTTTCATCTCCTTTCGGTAAATTAATAATACTTTAATAATAGGGTTGGGAATGGGAGGACAATTCGATTTTTGTGGATTATGGATCAATTCAGATATTATTAACGGACATTCAAAAGCAACACCATTATCATCTACCTATAGTAGTGCACAACTGTCAAAGAAACAAGAGTTTAAAGTAGATGAAATTGAAGGTATGCTAATGGATAAAAAATAAATTTAAAGATTTTTTTATATTATAAATACGATTCAATGATTAGCTAATGAGATCTTTACAATAATTATTATCCTTTCTTTCAGTCTGGCTTGTTAAACCGACAGAAAAAGATCCTGATGAAATACCTAAAGGACCAAAAGGTTCTGCATTGGATAAAAATCCAGCAGAATTGGAATTATTGCAAATGTCTACAAATAGGAAAATGTATTCAAAGGATGTTAGAGATCCTAGTTTGTTTATTAATGAAGATGAGTAATAAAGCTATAATAATCATTCGCTATTTAAAGCTATGATTGTATTATCATCACAATCTTGTATCTTTTAAAGTTAATATAACCTATTAATAAACATAAAATTTTAAAATTATTTATAATTTATGTAATAATTATTACTTTCCTTAAAATTATATGTATAATCCAAATAAAAAATTAATGTTATAAAATATAAAAGTAATTATATTTTAACTTTTAAAAATAATTTGAATAATATATTTTAGCCAATTATTTATTATTTATTACAATCAATATTTTAATAAAATTTTAATCTTTTTAGGTTTTATATATTTTTAATATATATAAATCAAAAAGTTGAATTTAAAAATTCAATTAGAAAATTTAAATTAAATAAATATATTTAATATTAATGTATTTTAAATAATTAATTAACTTTAAATTTTATTTATCATTATATTTAATTAAAAACATTTTTAATTATATTATTTATTATTATATTATATAATCTGATATTTTGTAATAGAAGTAAAAAGGTAATAAAAACTTTTAAGATAATCAGTGAATTATAAAAAAATTCAAATTCAAATATATTATTACATAATAAATATTTTTATAAATATATGTATTTTATTTTATAAAATTAATAATTTTATTGAAATAAGAGAGTATTTTTTTGTTATATAAATCTCAAATTATATAAAATTACGAATATATGATTCAATTTTTAATGTTAATTCTGGTCAACATTGAGTTACCAGTAAAATTCGATTGAACGCGACCCTCAATTCAAAAAAAAAAAAAAAAAAAAAAAAAAAAATAAAGTACTGTAAATTTTCATTCAATTGGATACAAACACTATACTGTCGACAAAAAAAACTATTCATTAAACATGTCGTTTGCATCGGTAAATGACATAACGTCAAGACTTGAAAAGCTGGAACAAAATATAACTTTAACTTTGCAAGAAATCGATCATAACTTTTCAACGTGTCAATATAAAGTTACAACAAAAATTTTACCGCAAATAACGCGTTTTGCCTGTGCTTCGGAAGACATTTGGGAGAATTCAAAGGTTTTACTTCAATAATATTATCATTATTTATTGTGAAGAAACGCGTACTTTGTTATTAATTTTTTTTCTTTTCTTTTTTTTTCTTTTACATTATGAATTTTTTTTTATTGATGCGAGCCAGTTGTGGTGGTCATTCTTCGAGTCTTTAGATTTAACTACAAATGATTCATTTTCAGCGACATCATCTGAGGATTACATCAATATGAAAAAGAAACTTGTTATTAATGAAACTTCATCATCGAGATCTGATACAAGTAAAATCACAACAATTAACTCGATATTAACAAATCCTTCAAATTATAATTCATTGACTTCAACACCTTTACAAGAGCCACAATATATTCATGGGAATCTTAGTAACAACAATCATAGTGATATTAATACGAATACGACATTAACTTCAGAACAATGTATTTTACCACCACAATCATCTTCAGCTTGTACGGATAGTGATTATGAATTCGCCGGAATTTCACCACCTGTTACCTTTCAATTTTCTGTGGCACCTTCTAAATTATTGAGGACTCCGGCGAAAGAAGCAGCTAAACTTATCGTAGATGAACTTGTCAGTTGTATGAGTCCTGATATATTAACTCCATCAAATTCAAATAAAGGTTGGTGACAGCAAACAACAATTTCTTCCCTGTTGAACCTACTGTAGAAAAAAAATACACGGGTTTTTTTTTTAAAAAAAAATATATATCATTTGTATTCATGTTACGCGTTTTAATAAAAAATGATGCATATTACTTATTATTTTTAATATTTGAAAAGGGAATTGTTGTTTATTGATAAACCTTTTATTATTTATAAAATATTTGAATACATCAACATGAATAAATCTCACGCCAAATAAAGTAAAAAGAAAAAGAAAAAAAAAAGATAAGAAATAGAAATTTTGAGGAAAAAAAAAAAATACGAATTCTTTGATCACACCAACTATAAAATTTAACCTGCAAAGAAGAAATATCAAGTAAAAAACCAAACATCATATAGCCCAACTAGCAAATGTCCAATAATACCCTTTAATAAATTTAACAAGGGAATGCGCCAACCCTCCAATATAATCATATAATAAATTCTTAATACCAAAAAAAAAAAAATAGTAATGTATTCTATTATCCTAACAAGCGAAGAAAATCAAAATATAAACATATCAATCGATATATATTATTTCTATTTTTTATTTAGATTTTTGTGAAAATATTCAAAGAAAAAAAAATTTACCCGTTATTATTACCATTTAATAGTTCGGATTTCAATTTTCGGCAAGCAAAGCAAAGGAAACATTTTGGAAAACAAATAATTGTCTTTTTGCTTTTTTTTTTCGATTCGATTTTTTTTTTTTATACTCGGGAATTCTTTTGTACTCGCGTTAATCTTTTCTAGATTTTTTTTTAGCTTTTTCCTCTTAAAAAATAATAATGTTTCGGAATCTTATTAATAAATCCTAGAATGAAGAAGAACAAACACATGTGAAAAAAGCTCTGAAATATTATAATTTCTATATGAATATTTCTTTTAACTTCATGTTTTGTCATTGTTTATTAAGATACAAGTGCAGGACGTTTGGGCATATCAGAGATATGTTCTGGTGACTATTTTTTTCAAAAAAAAATAAAAAGAGAGATGTATATACATATATATCATTAAATTAAAATCAAGAATGATAAATAAAATGTCAAATTGCTAGATTGATATTTATCATACCGCTTTTCTTTTACCAAGAACAGGAGGACTTGAAACACTTTCACTTTCAGATAACTTCACATTTCCTTGGTGCTAAAATCAAAAATAATCTTTAATATTATTGTTCAATCTCGACTTATATATACATTAAGTAACCCTACCTTAAGGGCATCAGCATGGCATGTTGCATGATATATAATACCATCAACTTCAACAGCGTTACGAAATAACCATTCTTCATCTGTATCATTCCAGAAACATTGAAATTTTTCTTGACAGATTGGACATGGTTTACCAGCCTTTTCAGGATCAAAAGGTACGATAACCGTTGATTCATTAATTAATTCTTCTCTTCTGTACGTTTGGATATTAACGCTACCACTACCAGTTACATTTTTTATAGCACCAATATTATCAAAGTCAAAAAATGCAGGAGTTGCAGTATTTTTTGTATCTGATTCCCTTGAATGAATCCAATCCTATAATACATAATTGTTTTTGTTTTGCCAAGCATAACACAAAGCATTGCCACAAATATTATTAATTAAAATATTGAAAATATTGCATAAACCTAAAAAGAAAAATATTAAAAGAAATAAACTATATATATTTGTATATTTAATTACCTCGTCGCTTACAAACCAGCTACGACTTTGCGCCTTTTTTGACTTTTCCTTCATTCGACGATTTTGACGAAAATGCCAGTCCAAATGAGCATCCATTTTTGCTTTTCCTTCTTCATTTCCAGGATATCGAAATCCACATTGTTTGCATTGGCGTGGTAAAGCATCATATATGACTGTAATCGCTCCTTCATGTTTGCTATTAATAAATAAATTTTTAGGTTAGAAAATTTGTTCACATTGCAGATATGTAGTAGCATTATGATTAATATAACTTACCGTTGAATATCATTACTGGTTAGACGAATCCTTTCTAGATCCATTACAGATTTCACAGTAGACGAAGGTGGTTCTGCATTAATTGAAGACGGAGGTGGTGGTGTAGGAGTATTATTTCTTCCAGTAAAGTTCAATCCATTAATATTACCAAGATTATTACTTGCAATATTATGTAATCCAAAGTTAATTAAATTCTTAACCAAAGAATTTGGATCTGCTAAAAGATTGTGCGGTGGTTGTGGAATCGAAGAAGGAGGCTGTTGTACTGGAGATCTCACCGGAATTGGACCCGGTTGAGGTTGTGTTATAAGTGAACCTGAATTGTTGAAAGAACTTGCTGATGAGGCAAATACAACACCGAGAGCAGCCGACAAAACATTGAAATCAGTTGTACCAGTAATAGAAATTGAAGGTCCTAGACCTTGAGTCAAGTTAGGGAACGAAGGTGGGATTATAGGAGGTCCTTGAGCCTGAACTGTGGCGGGATTAGGCATTTGGTTAAAAGAGGCAAATAGTTGTCGAACTTGCTGGATTTGTTCAACCGTGAGAGGCGCTTTTTGAAGAACTTCTGAAAGCTATAAAAATACATTATGATTTTTGAGTAAAGTCACATTGATATACTTGAATAATTTGATGAATTAATCTTTAAAGCAAACCTGTTGTAAATTTCCAATTTGATTTTGGTTCTGCAAATCATTAGGATTTCTCGAAGCATATTGTTGACGTTGCAAAATCACCGCCCGACATTCTTGTAAAAGTCCCTGTTGTTCAGGAGGTGGAACAAATACTTGGTTTTGTTGAATAATTGGTGAAACAGGCTTGTTTGCAAACTAATTATAATAGAAAAAAAAAAGAAAGCACGAAATAAGGAATCATCAATATATTATACATCAATAAATTTTGGATGTACATTCAATAATCATCTCCAAAAAGAACATTAATTTTTTGATCGTCAATTAGTAACGATTTTTATTACACAAGGATTTGGTAGGGATAAAGGAATAAAGAAGGACCATATATAACGTTTTTTGAAGTGTATATATATATATATATATATATATATATATTTTTGATTATAATTTTATAAATTATTTTCCTTTTTTTTTTTTTTTTTTTTCATTATTTTTTTTTATTTTTATTATTATTTTTTTTTTTTTTGTTTTTTTTTGTTATTTTTTTATTTTATTGATCTTTTTAATTTTCATTTTCTCTATATATATTTCTTTTTTTTTTTTCTTTTTTTTTCTTTTTTTTTTTCGCAACATTTTATAATTAGGATGGAAGTTATAATTGATCTTCCAGATTTATTTTTATTATATGTAATTTATTTTTGTTAATTTTGTGTTATTTCTTTTTTTTTTTTTTTTTTTTTTTGAAGCCCATCAATTTCATTTCACAACGTAAATAACCTCTGTTGGTTTTAGAAGTTTTATGTTTGTTGTTATTATACATGGTTTCCCAATCAGATACACCCAAATAAATTTGATTAGAAAGAACCAGAGTTGATTATCGGAAACTCGAGGTTCTGAGCGGTAGAGCATTTCAAAAAAAAGAAACTTTGGACAATAATAATGATTACAAGAATAAAGATTGCATTTTTTTAAAAGTAAAAAGCAGACAGTCTTATAATGTAATGAAAATAAAAAGTTCGTATTGATGCAGATATGATAAAACTACACGAATATACGGACAACAAAAAATAACAGAAATCAAAAACAAAAAATAACGAACAATATAAATTCAATAAAGAACTAACCTGAGGAGTATTATAAAATCCTTGGCGAGGCAATGTAGCAGCAGGAGGAAATGCAGTAGTAACATTATTATTATACCTAGCCGCATCAACCCACACATTTGATGTTTGTTGAATTGGTTGTGGCACTTGTTGAACTTGCTGTGTAGTTGGTTGTTGATTCTGCTGATATGATGTTAAACCACTTTGGTTCTGTTATAAAAAGAAAGAAACCCATTTAATAATTTGGTCAAGGAAATTTAATGAAACTTTTATAAGATAACCACAAAATCACTTACAATTCCGCTCAAGAAATTAGGATTGATATGAATGTGCGATCTTCCACCGTCTATTGATCCTCGAGGTTGATATCTCACTTGCTGCTTCAACAATGTTTTTTCAATGGGGCCAGTAACTTCTAAAGAATATACGGGATTTCCTGTTGGTCCACTTTTCCATGTTGCTAATACTCTTTCAAGTTTATGCTTTGTAGTTTGATCTACAGCATTATAAGTGTCCATAAATGTATGATAAAGGTTTCTCGAAAATAACATAATATATGTTCCTCCAACATTTTTACTAATAGAATCAAGGAGATATAATACTGGTAATTTGTGTTGAGGTGGACACTAAAATAAATATATGGCAAGAAAAAAAAATTTTTTTTACGGTTGGTTAGAAACCTATAATTAGACTTTCGGAAATACTCTTATTTATATAGCCAAAGTAATCTTTATTGAAGAATAATTTTTTAATATCCCCCAGAGTATAATTAGGAAATACTTACAGTTCTGATCTGTTCTTCGATAGCTTGTACGATTGACCTTGCGGCATTTATATTCTCCTGTGCTATAATTGTCAAATTAGTGATAATAGGTTTTGAGTTAAATGTTAAGTCTTGCAAAGACGCTAAATAGTCCTGTCGGACACTTTCCAGATCGAGCTCAGAGTTGGCCATTTTTTTTGATAGAGTTTTTTTTCCTTTTTTTTTTTTTTTTTTTTTTCTGGTTCTTGTATTTATATAAGATGAAATAATAATCTATTCTTAAGATGATGGGAGAAATTACAAATGCATGATAACTCTGGCCGAAGCTTATCAAAACTCTGATCAGCTTCATATTATACCACATAATCACATTTCTTTATTGTACAAATTCTCTATTGTTAATCAACAAGGAACAAGGCTGTTGTACTTCATGCAAATAAAGATCCATTAGATCCATTAGATCCATTAAAGAGAATGGTCACGTAAATCTTCAAATTACTACACAACTATTAGAAAGGTATGCTTTTGAAATG